TTTTGACAGGCAGAGTAGATAATGAGAGAGAGAGACAGAGAGAAAGGTCTTCCTTTTCTGTTGGTTCACTCCCCACATGGCCGCTATGGCTGGCGCATTGCAGCTGTTGCGCTGCACGGATCCGAAGCCAGGAGCCAGGTGCTTCCTCCCGGTCTCCCATGCAGGTGCAGGGCCCAAGCACTTGGGCCATCCTCCACTGCACTCCCGGGCCACAGCAGAGAGCTAGCCTGGAAGAGGGGCAACCGGGACAGAATCCGGCGCTCCAAACAGGACTAGAACCTGGTGTGCCGGCACCGCAGGCAGAGGATTAGCCTAGTGAGCTGCGGCGCCAGCCCAGCAATTAAAAATTAAATTAGGGGCTGGAACTGCAGTGTAGCCAGTAAATCCACCGCCTGAAGTGCTGGCATCCCATATAGGCACCAGTTTGAGTCCCGGCTGCTCTACTTCCAATACAGCTCTCTGTTATGGCCTGGGAAAGCAGTGGAGGATGGCCCTGGTGCTTAGGCCAGGGCCTGTGAGGGAGACCCGGAAGAAGCTCTCTGCTCCTGGCCTCAGATCGGTGCAGCCCTGGCCATTGCGGCCAACTTGGGAGTGAACCAGTGAATGGAAGCCTTCTTTCTCTCTCTCCCTCTCTCCTTCTCTCTCTCTCTCCCTCTGCCTCTCCTTCTCTCTGTGTGTAACTCTTTCAAATAAATAATTATTTTTTAAAAAATTAGTTAAAAAACACTTAGAACCAAATGACAATAAAAAGAATGGATCCCGTCTTGCTGGGTTGCAAGCATTTGCTTTTTTGCCTGTCTCACTCTCAGTCAATGACTCTTCTGGATTGGGGACCGTTCAACCATCTTTGGAACCCTCCAGCCTGCTATGGTGCCACAAGTACTCTGTATTTAATTAAATAAGGAGTATTTGTTTAAAATTTACAAATTTAAACATGAACTGCATTTGAATATTTACTGCACTGGGACAGCTGGAATCCTGCCTCCACCTCCTCCACGCCTTCCCACCTCCTCGGCCTCATCACTGTCATTCCCACTCAGCCTGGTAAGCACGGCTTAGATGGCCTGCACCTCCTTACGAGTGAGTTTAACAATGAGAGGCAAAGACAAGCGGGTGGTCTTTTCATCTCCCATGCTTGGGAAGGTGAACTGGTGGTGGCATCCTTGACTCAACGGAGCTACTTAAACACAAATTGGATTAGCAGGACAGGATTAGAGCTTGCTGGAAGCTATTACACACTTATAAACTGCTTTGAGAAAACTATTGTTTTCATTAGAAACCCATACTCTACAGAAGCAATCAAATGAAATATGGACTTAGTCTTTTAATTAAAAAAATAAAATGAGATATGAAGTATTACATTTTAATAATTCCAAGAAATCTGAGTTAGGCAATAAGAGTTCGGCTGAAAAAACTACAAGATCCTCTGAAATGAGACTTTCAATATGGATTTCTTTAGCAAGAAATAAAATCACTAAATATCATCTCTGTTTCTCCATCAAGAAGAACATTCAAACAAGAAACATGATTAAGAGGTGACCTCAAGAAAGAATGAACAACCATGCGAGGAGTTTCCAGCTCAGACGTATCACAGGAACTGAAGGACCTCGACCTACATGAATTACAATCCCGGGACACCGAAACACAGCGCCTGTCAGTGGCCTTGTGAAATAACAGAGAACACAAAGCTCACAAAGGATAGAGAGAGGGCAAGGCTACCTTTCCAAGACAGGGGAAAGGTGATTTGTGGTCTGTGTCAGCAGCTGAGGTAGAGGCTGATTCCTGGGAAAAACTCTAGGAGATTCAAATCTGAGTGCCCCCAGTGAATGGCAGTGTGACACTGGCCACGGCTCAAAACGTTGCTGCAAGGATTAAATGAGGGGCCGGCGCTGTGGCTGGCTCCTTGTTAAGGTGCCTTTAAAAAAAAAAGACTAAATGAGATCATATAGGTAAATAAGACAGCTACGAAAATATATGTGATATAACACATATTACATAGTAAATACCCTGTAAACCATTTGTTTGCACTCCCAGCACTGCAAAAAGGGATGGTAGCAATTAGAGACTGAAAGGTTCCTTGAGAACAAGTCTTGTCTACCCAGTCTTATTTTTCCAGTGAGGTAGAAATAGTAGGTTCTCAGAATTTAATTATTTTTTTAAAAAAAGATGTATTTATTTATTTGAAAATCAGAGTTAGAGAGAGAGAGGGAGAGACAGAGATCTTCCACCTGCTGGTTCGCTCCCCAAGTGGCTATAACATCCAGGACCGAGCCAGGCCGAAGCCAGGAGCTTCATCAGGGTCTCCCATGTAGGTGGCAAGAGCCCAGGCACTTGGGCCCTCTTCCACCGCTTCCCCAGGCCATTAGCAGGGAGCTGGATCGGAAGTGGAGCAGGTGCCAGCCCCAAGAAGTTATTTCTAGATAGGTACATTGGAGGTATCGTCATTCTAAAAAAAAAAAATCTCATAATATCCTCATGAAAGGTTGGATTTTAGGAGAGCTGTGTCACCGAATAACCATACTCACGGCATTATTCACAAACCAGACCTTGCTGTGCCTCGTGGCCTGCATCGGGGTGCCATGCAAGGTTCAGTGGCTGCCCTTAGTCAGCACTGTACCAATGTCTGCGGAACAAACCTGAACTAAAGTTTTTAGTGGCATACCATGTGCGGACTTGGCTCCAACCTCTTCCGTATTTCCATCAGAAACTTGTTACATTTTCATATGGTGAGCATGTCAAATTCTCAGACGATATAAATGTTGGATGATGAAATCAAAATCCAAAAAAGGCCTTGACAGGCTACTGGGCTACGAAATGAAACCTATGACATGAAATTAGGTCTCAGATATTTTAAGAAAAAGAAATTTGGAGGGAACAGTGCATAGTTGGTTAAGCCTCCACCTGCAGTGCCAGCATCCCATATGGGTGCCAATTCAAGTCCCAGCTGCTCCACTTCCGATCCAGCTCCCTGCAAATGGCCTGAGAAAGCAGTGGAAGATGGCTCAGGTCCTTGGGCCCCTATACCCACCTGGGAGACCTAGAAAAAGTTCCTGGTTCCTGGCTTCAGATCGGCCCAGCTCCAGCTGTTGCAGCCATTTGGGGAGTGAACCAGCAGGTGGAAGACCTCTTTCCGTGTGTCTCTCCCTTTCTCTGTTACTCTGCCTCTCAAATAAGTAAATTTAAAATTTTTTTTCTTTTAAAGCAAGACCTAGGCTTGCTTACAGCACTCTCTGCCGATTAAAAAGGAACATCATGACCTCAAGACCTGCATACATAAACAAATGTATCTAACAGTGCAATGCTGAGCAGCGGTAGCATGGGTGCGGCCTCACACAGACACAGAATGGACTGAGGAGTCCATGAGCCCTCCGAGACAGCAGGCACAGCTCAGCCACCATTAGCTCTGCTCTCCCCTTCTCCTCCCTAGGTCTCAGCTAAGCAGGAGCTCTACGGCTTCTACTACAGATAAACAGGAGGGAAACGTGAGGCAGGAAGGGACCATGATTCCAACACATCTGGGTGGCATGGAACATCCTCAGGGGAGCACAGAACCACAGCCTCCAGGTTCGTCCAGAAATGTGATTAGAAGTTTACCAGGGTACCTAGTGTCCCACTGTGCTACAACGCTCAAATAAATTCCCCTCTAATCATGATTACTTCGGGATTTATCTAATCTGTTTCCTAAAGGAAATCAAGCTACTCCCAGGCACTTTGTCAACTTTTTTCTCCTAATAATCCTTGCCCCTGACAAAAGAGATATTGTCGTGCCTACAGAATAGATAAGAAATTGAGGCAAAGAAGTAGAGTGGATTGCCTTGGGTCATACAGAACTGGAATTACAATTTAGTATCTAATTTTAGTGTGCACTACATGAGTGTAGGGAGGGGAGCAAACTGGAATCATACTACATGCTTAAAAAAAGGCCAATTTACCTTAATCTCTGGGAGAAAGAACAGTAATTGCATTTTCCTTGACACATGCCAAAAATGTTGAGCGCACACTGTAGATTCCACATTCTTATTCTAATCCTTTTCCAAACACTTTGGAAAGCCTTGGTTTGATCATTAGGAAGATGATAGAAATTAATGATTTTTAAAATAAGGTAAATACTTGGTTGCTACAATCTCCAAGTAAAGCAAATAATTCAGAAAGCTGTATAGCACAGCCATCATGTGTTTCAGATCACACGGGGCAAGAAACTACCCCCAACAGGGGCAAACACAGTCTCACCATCCCTTCCCAGGCCAACCTCAGTCAACAGGACTGGGTAGGTAAAGGTCACGGGAAATCATATGTTTAATTAAAAGAAGTTCTACCTAACATGTTATTACTATAAAGATTTACACATATCACCTAACTACTGAACAAATGCAAGTTCATCATAAAACACATAGAAAACAAAGTTAAATAAAATGAAACTAAAAGTCCCCACTATGTAAGCGCTCAGTAGGAACCTTTTTAGAAGTGGGGATTTTTTAAGGCTCATCTGTCTGCTCAGACCAGGAGGCTGGAACAACCCTAGGGTTCAGTATGGAGCTTCCCTTTAATTAAGGAAGGAAAATGGTGCTCACCCATAGGAGGCCGTCTCTCATTTTCTTGGCACTTGTCCCAGGAGAAATGAGACGACCACTCAGTATATAAGGTGGTAAAAAGAAGAACCCAGTTCCTAATTGCATTTTATTGATCTGAACAATTTACACCATAGTTGTAGAATTATAAGACTCATTTACCTAAGCTAGCAAACATCATGGCCAAAACTGATTGCCTCTTTAAGTACACGGCATCACATCTACTTCAGGTTATGATTTTAAAACTTATTTTGGTTGGATTTCTCCTTTTTCTCATACACACACATTCAGAACTGACATAAAGACGCATCAAAAAAATTTTGTTATCAGCAAAAGATGAGTAGGGTAGAGTCTCTCCCAGCTGTGAGTGAGCCAAGAGACCCCCGTTCAATCCACTTCCTCCCACCCGCACCGTCAAATCACGCCCAGTACCTTTTTGTTGACAGCCACGCCGTCCTCACAGTCGAGCACCGCACAGTCCACCTTCAGGGACGGGATCTTCTTTATCTTCTTCTCATCGTTTCCAGGTACATACAGCACTGCCCGCCGTGGAACGTACTTGTGCCCGGCCGAGGCGCTGTACCGCAGCCTGGAGACGCCCGCTGCGGGAGACGGTTTTCTGCAGGAGAACAAACTGGGGTTGGTCCAGGACAGAACCTCTGTACCTACAGATTTGTGAAGAAGCTTTTAATTTTAGGCAAAACCAGAACAGAGTGCTTGGGTAATCATTTTTAGTTATGGAAGAACACAACCGCACACTGAAAAACCAGGCAAACATTAACAGACAATCAGCCCAGGAACTATCATTTTGGCCGAGACTTCAAAAAATAGATAGAACCGTTCATCGGTGTAATTTTCTGAGAGAAGGAGAGTGAAGCTAACTCTAAACGCTGTCCAGATCGCATCCTGGAGAAAAAGGCAAGAAACAGATACACAAATAGTACTGAACAATGGTGCGATTTACAATTACACATCAGCTAAAGAGAAAACAAAGCAAGCTGCGCCGTGACAGATGAAGTGGTCAGACTGCCAGTTAAGAAGAGTTTAAGCCCTGGCACCCTCATGTTTCACTCCCCTGAGAAACAGCGCGATCCTTTTAAAGAAGAACCTTGGCTGGGGACTGGCACTGTGGCACAGCAGATGAAGCCACTGCTTAACATCAACTGAATGCCAGTATATCCCATATCGGGGCACCAGTTCGAGTCCCAGCAGCCCTGCTTCTGATCCAGCCTTCTGCTAATGTGCTTGGGGAAGGCAGCAGCAGCTGACCCAAGTTCCTGGACTCTGCCACCCATGTGGGAGACCCGGATGGAGTTCCTGGCTCCCGGCTTCAGCCTGGCCTTGCCCTGCTGCTGTGATCCTTTGAGGAGTGAACCAGCAGATGGAAGGTCTCTCCCTTTCTCTCTTATCCCCCTTCTCTCTCTGCCTTTCAAATAAATAAATCTCTTTAAAAATGTTATCTGTACTTTTCATGACATCAATAGTCACCCTAAATTAACACCATCAAATATTTTGCATGTTTTTAATAGAAAACTTTTATTTAATAAATATAAATTTCAAAAATACAACTTTTGGATTATAGTGGTTCTTCCCCCCATACCCACCCTCCCACCAGCAAACTATCCCATCTCCTACTCCCTCTCCCATCCCATTCTTCATTAAGATTCATTTTTAATTATCTTTATATACAGAAGATCAACTCTACACTAAGTGAAGATTTCAACAGTTTGCACCCACACAGACACACAAAGTATGAAGTACTGTTTGAAGACTAGTTTTACTGTTAATTCTCATAGTACAACTCATTAAGGACAGAGGTCCTACATGGGGAGCAAGTGCACAGTGACTCCTGTTGTTGATTTAACGATTAACACGCTTATTTATGACGTCAGTAATCACCCGAGGCTCTTGTCATAAGCTTTTGCATAGTTTTAATATCTCACTGTGATTAGTGTACCTTTTCACTTACTTAAAAAAAAAAAACACTACTTTTTGTGGGAGCCTAGTAAGTTTTGTGGGACCCCTGCCACTCCTCATAGCCAATGCTGATGAACTCATACTTGAGACTCAGTTCTATTTTTCCACAAGATTGTACTATTTGAGGTATGGTGATGATATACAGATGGATTTCAAAAATGCACATCTTACAAAACATTTTATTTAATGTAAAATTTATTACAGCCAGCTACTTCAAGAAAGCCTGAAATTTGTGTCATTATTTTTCATTGACAGATACTACAAGAAACATAAACCATAGACCAATGTCCCTCATGACCAGTGATGCAAAATTCCTCACAAAATATTTGCAAACTGAATTCAGCAGCATATTCAAACGATTGAACACAATGACCAAGTAGGACTTGTCCCTGGAATATAAGGCCAGTTCTGCACATGGAAACGGATCAGTGTAATGCAAGAACAAAGGAGAGGAACGCCCAAACATATCAACTAGTGCAGAAACTTGACAGAGTTCCACACTTTTTCAGTGATAAAGCACTCAATAAACTACCTCAACACGATAAAGCCATATATGGAAAACCCTACAACAAACATTATAATCATAGGGAGACACTGAAATCTTTTCCTCTCAGATTAATAACAGGACAAGGAGGGCCAGCGCCGTGGCTCAATAGGCTAATCCTCCACCTTGCGGCACCGGCACACTGGGTTCTAGTCCCGGTCGGGGCGCCGGATTCTGTCCCGGTTGCCCCTCTTCCAGGCCAGCTCTCTGCTATGGCCAGGGAGTGCAGTGGAGGATGGCCCAGGTGCTTGGGCCCTGCACCCCATGGGAGACCAGGAAAAGCACCTGGATCCTGGCTCCTGCCATCGGATCAGCACGGTGCGCCGGCTGCAGCGGCGGCCATTGGAGGGTGAACCAACGGCAAAAGGAAGACCTTTCTCTCTCTGTCTCTCTCTCTCACTGTCCACTCTGCCTGTCAAAAAAAAAAAAAAAAAGGACAAGGACACCTACTTTCACTACTTCCATTTGACACTGAACTAGAAGTTCCAGCCACTGCCACTAGGTAAGAAAAATAAGCAGAAGGTGTTCAATCTGGCAAGGGAGGAATAGCACTATCTCTGCTCACAGATGCTGTGATCTTAGATGCCGGAATCCTAAAGATTCTACCAAAAAAATTCCCATACCTGTTAGAATTAATGAATGGTGTCAGCAAAGTAGGAGATACAAAAATCAACATAAATCTGCTGCATTTATGACCGGCGCCGCAGCTCAACAGGCTAATCCTCCACCTAGCAGCGCTGGCACACGGGGTTCTAGTCCTGGTCGGGCGCCAGATTCTGTCCCGGTTGCCCCTCTTCCAGGCCAGCTCTCTGCTGTGGCCCGGGAGTGCAGTGGAGGATGGCCCAAGTGCTTGGGCTCTGCACCCCATGGGAGACCAGGAGAAGCACCTGGCTCCAGGCTTTGGATCAGCGTGGTGTGCTGGTTGCAGCGCGCCAGCCGCAGCGGCCATTGGAGAGTGAACCAATGGAAGGAAGACCTTTCTGTCTCTCTCTCTCTCACTGTCCACTCTGCCTGTCAAAAAAAATGAATTTATGCATCAGAAGACACTATCAACAGAATTTAAAACGCAACCCAAAGAATGGGAGAAAATATTCACCAGTCTACATCTGATGAGGGATTAATAGCCAGAATATAGAGAGAGCTCCTAAAATTCAACAAAAAGAAAACAAACAACTTGATTCAAAAATGGGCAAAGAAGCTGAGTAAACATTTCTTCAGAGCAGACACACAAATGGTCCGTAAACCCACAAAATGGTGCTCGACATCACCCGTCATTTCAGAAGCACAAATCAAAACGAATGCAAGGCACCACCTCATATCCACTAAGTTGGATGCAATAATAAGTTTAAAAAGAACATGAATGACCTTGGGGAATACTATGCTAAGTCAAACAGCCTGCACAGAAGGACAAGTAGTTCATACTCTCACTCATATGTGGAATCTAAAAAGTGGAATTCCTAGGAACAGAGTAGAAAGGTCACAGAGCTGGAGCTGGGATGCAGGGGCTGGGCTTTCCCTTGGGATGCCAGCACCCACTATCAGAGTGCTGGCTCCAGTCCCTGCTCGGCGCTGCTGATCCAGCTGCCTGTTGATACACCTGGGAGGCGTAGATGATGGCCCAAGTACTTGGTCCCTGTCCCATATGTGGGAGACCTGGATGGAGTTCCAGGCTCCTGGAGGCTTCAGCCCGGCCCAGCCCCAGCTGTTGTAAGCATTTGAGAAGTGAACTGGCTCTGTTTCTGTCTCTATCATTCTTACTTTCTAGTAGTAGTAATAATAATAATAATAATAATAGCAAAAGGGTGATTATTAGAGATTGGAGGGGAGAAGATACAGTAGAAGATATGGGGAAATGCTGGTCAAAGAGTACAAAGTGCAGTTTCAAAATGAGGACCTAATGTATAGCATGGCAACTATAGTTGATAATAATGTATTATAAACTTAAAGTTGTCCAAGAGAGATTTGAAATAATCTTGGCACACACATTTTCATTTTATTTGAAAGGAAGACAGACAGAACACACACACACACACACACACAAAGAAAGAGATCTTCCATCTATTTGTTCTCTCCAAACGCCCACAACAGCAGTGGCCAGAGGTGGGCCAGGTCAAAGCCAGAGGCTCAGAACTCCAACCAGTTTCACAGGTGAGTGGCAGGGACCCAGCTACGTGCACTGTTGTTTGTTGCCTCACAGGGACTGCATCAGCAGGATGCTAGTTGAGATGTGGAGAACATGGGACTCAAACCAGGCACTCCAGTATGGGATGCTGACATCCCAAGAAACTGTGTCAGACGCTGCAATGGGGCCACTGTTGTGGCACAGTAGGTTAAATCGATGCCTATAGCACCGGTGTCCCACATGGGCACCTGTTGGAGTCTCAGCTACTATACTTCTGATCCAGCTCCCTGCTAATAGCCTGGGAAGAGCAGCAGCAGATGACCCAAGTGCGTGCGCCCCTGCACCACATGGGAGACCCAGAAGCAGCTCCTGGCTCCTGGCTTGGGCCTGGCCCAGCGCTGGTGGTTGTGGTCACATGAGGAGTGAACCAGAGGATAGAATATCTCTTTCTCACTCTCTCCCTCTATCTCTACCCCCCTCTCTCTGTAACTCTGCCTTTTAAATAAATAAATAAATAAATAAATAAATCTTTACCAAAAAATTCCATTTTTCCACAAACTTTTTGAAGTACCATTGTATACAATTATTTATCAATTATGTCTCAATAAAGCTGAAATTTTATAGATATTCCATATTTAATGAAGACAGTCATAATTATCTTTTTTGTTGTTTTTTTGAAAGGTAGAGATACAGAGAGAGGAGGGAGGGGGAGAGATGGAGATCTTCCATCCGCTGGTTCACTCCCCAAATGACCACAACATGCAAGGCTGGGCCAGGAGCCAGGAGCTTCCTTCAGGTCTCTCACATAGGTGGCAGGGACCCAAGCATGTGAGCCATATTCGACCGCCTTCCCAGGTACATTAGCAGGGAGGTAAATCGGAAGTGGAGTGGCTGGGACTTGAACCAGCACTCTAATGTGAGATGTTTGTGTCTCAGGTGGTGGCTTAACCTTGCAAACTGCATTTTATAGAACACT